CACCTCGTCCTCCTGCCCCCACCTTCCCTGCTCTATGGACTCCCAGGACCAGGCTAGGACTGAAGAGAGAGGAGCAGGTGGTTACATGCAGGCATAGTCTTCGCTTGCTTGCATGCAGTTCAGGTGGGGGAGATACATAAGCAGAGGTGGAGGGGTTTGTGTCTCTCTGTTTCAGCCACTTCCTCATTGGGTGCACACCTAGGAGTACCTGAGAGATGTAGGACGCATGGGCATGCATTTTCCTAACTTGTAAATGTACCTCTGACAATAAAAGAGTTCATTCTTCACTCTGGACATTCCTTGCCTGACAGCACTATGACAATACAGGGCTTCTACATTTGGGTGGAAACCTTGACCAATCAGGGTTCCTGTTTGCGTGTAAGAGTCCTGCGCACTTACAACTGTATAGGACCCCACCCTTATATAAACACAAACATGTGTCCAATCAGTGTGTTTGCATTGTAGGGCATGGATGGTAAAGATAAAGGGACCCCAGACTGTTAAGTCCAGTCGTGGATGATAAATACCTATTTATCTACTTGCACTTTGACGTGCTTTCAAACTGCTAGGTTGGCAGGAGCAGGGACCGAGCAACGGGAGCTCACCCTGTTGCAGGGATTCGAACCGCCAACCTTCTGATCGGCAAGCCCTAGGCTCAGTGGTTTAGACCACAGCACCACCCGTGTCCCAGGGTATGGATAGTAGGCATGATCATATCCACCAAACTCGGTCGAAGAGGTTGCCAGGCAGCACTGCTGTCTTTAATTTCTTTAAGCTTTGCCTTGAATGTCCTGGCAGAAAGGTGGTATATAAATGCTGTTAACAGATAGATAAATAAAACGTTTTAAATATAGGATGTTTATACACTCCGAAATATCACTCCTGGCTTGAGACGCCCTTCCTGAGAAATTGTGCTGGGGGTATACGGCAGAGAAGCAAGAGACTTCTAGGTTCAACATCCTGCTTTAATTCCCTTTGTTAAAAGGTGTTTGGAGATAAAAGCCTGCCTGGGAGCAACATCTTCTGACCTAGAAGCTCTGCCCCTTAACCCCAAATGCAGCAGGGTTGCCTGTGGTCATCCAGTCAGGAGGGAACATTGTGCAAACTCCCCCTCCCACACAATGGCAGACTCTTCGAAAAGGGCAGCAATAGTACTAGCAGAATCGCCACACCAGAAACACACTGCTCAGGCTGAAGACCACAGACGCTTAAGGACAGGGTTTCTACAGGGCAGGGATGGAGAAACTGTGGCCCTCCAGATGTTGTTGGACCCCCTCCCATCAGTGGTCAAGGATGATGGGAGTTACAGACTGACAACATCTGGAAAACCACAGGTCTCCCATCCTTGTTATATTGGAATTGATCCTCGAGGACCAACTGGTTAGATGTTCAGGCAAGCTTGTGCCATACATAGTCCAGTGGTGGGTAGAAAGCAGATCTCTGACTGATTTGCAGTAGATCAACAAGGATTTTGTCTCCCAATTGTTTAGTAATACCCCTTATAATTCAGGCTGCTGAGTTTAAGAAAGCACAGGGGAAAAACCAGGAGTGGATTTTTGTGCGAAAAGATGGTGAGCTCAGTTCTGCTACGGAAAAGACTCTCTACCTTCTTTAGGAGCTTCTTAGTGTAAAAAAAATAAATCAGGCAGCATGGGCGTAGCCAAGGAGGGGTGGGGGGGGAGCTGCCCTCCCCCAGATGAAGTGAAACAATAGAAAGACTTAACTAACTGACTAATCACATCAGTTCTTCCCCACTCAACAAAAGCTCTGCCCCCCACCCTAAGAAATATCCTAGTGATGCCCATGTCAGGCAGTCCACTTGAAGCATGATGGGAGAGGTAAAGAGGCTAGTGTTTAACACAGAGGTTGTACAGATACATAAAGTAAGGAATGAAGGTGGAACGTAGCAGAAAATCCATACCAACTCTTGTTTCTAAGTATACCTAATGCAGCTGCTGCCATTAGGTTTTTTTTAATATACAGTGGTACCTCGGGTTACAGACGCTTCAGGTTACAGACTCTGCTAACCCAGAAATAGTACCTCAGTTTAAGAACTTTGCTTCAGGATGAGAACAGAAATCGTGCGGTGGCAGCGGGAGGCCCCATTAGCTAAAGTGGTACCTCAGGTTAAGAACAGACCTCCAGAATAAATTAAGTTCTTAACCAGAGGTACCACTGTACATTGCAGAGGAGAAAAAGAATAAAACCTAGTTAGGTATAAACAGGCAAAACTACTTTATACTGAGGCAAAATATTGATCCACCTTGCCCAGTACAACAAACTCTGTCTGGCAGCAGCTGCCCAAATCCTTAGGCAGAAACTTTTCCCTAATCCACCTCTACTGTTTGGCATCTTTTTTTTTGCAGTGGAAATGCCAAGGTTCTTACCAGGGACCTTTTGGATGAAAAGCACATGCTCTATTTCTGAGCTAGTCTTTATTTAATGATCAAATGAGAATTCCAAACATTCAATTTTTCACTATATACTTTGTAGCTGCTAAGGTGTTATGATGTCTAACTCAGTTCTGATGAGTACTGGGCAGAAAATGGAAAGAAAAGGTTGACTCTGGACTCCATCATACAAACTACCAGCATTAGTTCTTGGAATGGCTGGCTCTGCTAAATATCTTTCCCTGTATAAGCAGGATTGCAAAGTCAGTGATCAGAGAAACAGATTAAGAGAAATGTGTTTTTTTTAAAAAATATTTGGAATCCTTGAGGATGAAAAACAACATGAAAGAAGAGATATTTCCAGCTCCCAACTTCATGGGGATTAAGATCCTTGCAGGGAAATAAGTTGGGAGACTCGAATGCGACAACTGTTTTCTCCTTGATTTCATGAACCAGGCAGATATTGAATCCATGTCTGGCAGTGCCCCCGGGGCAGGGCTTTTGGGCAGAAGTCCAGAGTCCCACTAAACAGCCCCAAAATGGAGCAGAGCTGGCTCAACATCCTTGAAGTATGTGAAATAAAACACACTCTCAAGATGGGAGTTCCCTGTACAGACCATTAAGTCTAGAGACTAAACTTGCTTTTACAAGTTTGTGGGTGCTAGACACCCTAGATTTCTGCATCTAGATGGAGTCTGAATTTAATTAAGGCTAGGTGTTAAGTCTGGGTCCCAGGCTTATGTGCATTAAGCTAGACCCTTTTTGTGCTGTGTGCTGGACAGTGCTAATCCCCTGGAATCAACAAGCTGAAAGGCTAACTTCCAATGAGGTGATGGCCTGGGGTAATGAGCCATAACTCGGTGAGAGTTGGCAAACAGGCAGAGCCCCTTTCACTTCACAGATAAAGTCAGAGGCGATGTGATTTAGAAGAGTTTACAGCAGGAGTGATGTAATGTAGAAGTAAACCAGCAGGCTGGAGAGAGAGACAAGGACAATGTTGATGTCTGCTTGGATCCTAGGCTGTACCTTTGGGAGAAGCAAGACGCTCTTGGAGTGCAATGTTGGGAACGCCTCCATCGTAGGCTCAGGTTGTATAACATATGTGTAAATAAGCCATATATCCTAAAGACACCACAGTCCCCACTGTGCCTCATTTCCAAAAGGAAACACGGACCTTGTGTAAGCGCACCTGGAACCTCACACTGTGAGGTGGGGTGTAACATTATTTAACTGCACAACCAACCGGGCCTCTTGCACCTCCCCATCTGCTCACAAAGCCTCTTCCCATTTGCAATTGCTAACTCACGCAAGTTAGTTCCGCAACTTCTATTTCTCCTGTTCACCCCCACTCCCAATCCTCCTGACCCCTGGATGGTTCTTTTCACTTGCCCATCTGCAACCTCTGGCTCCCACCCCCAACCTTCCTCCATTCAAAGCCTCCTGGCCATTCCTGACTCTACAGTTACTGATCTAGCCTTAGTCCCCCAACCCCACCCGCCTTTCCAAAATGCTTGGCTTAAATTTTCTGGCTGCCTTGGAACATGCTCCTCCTGTTATAGCTGGCTCTCTCTTCTATCCACCTCCAGGTTCTTTGAGTCCTCCTGCCTGGCCTTCTTTGGAAAACCCCTCCCGCTCCTTCCTGGAAAGATGGTTATGTCAGACTATCGCTGACCAGCAGGTTGGGTAGTAGCTGTAAAAAACACACAAAAACCCCTGTCCCACATCCTGCCATAGCTGGATACTCCTCCTCCCTTTGCGCACATGCTCTCCCTACATCTCTCTCTCCCCCCCTCAAAATCTCTTGGCTAGACAGAAACCCAGCTCTGTCCCACAACTTTTAGATCTGCTCCTCTGCTGTACCTCTGACTATCCTTCCTTTTCATCCTTAATCTTTGAGGAGCCTGGCTCCTTGTCTCCGCCCCCCTCCCAGCGAGAGAAGCTGCTTCTCCCTTGCTGCTGCCCCAGAGCCAACTTCCCCAGATCCCTGCGCAACAGCGGGCCACCCCTCCACCTCCAGATCTCCATCCCTCTTATCTCCTGGTGAACTGTGTGTGTGTGTGGAGGGGAACCTCGTAACACCGGAATCCTCCCTCTCGCGTCGCTTTGGGAAGGCAACACCCCAGCCCCCCGTCCGACAGGCGGCTTCTCCGTGCACCAGCTGGCGACCCTTTTCTCTGTCCTCTACCCCCTCCTCCTCCTCTCTCCTGCCCCACGAGCTTCGGGGAAAAAGCCGATCTCCCCCAACACTTCCTGGGGTCGCCACCCTCGGCGACATCTGGCTCTCCCGCTTCCCCCCTTCTCCGCTTCCTTGGCGGGCAAAGCAACCCAAGATCGCCTCTCGGAAGCATCTGGTCGCCCTCTCCCCCCATCCCTCTTTTCTCTCCTCCTCGCCTAGCCAAGCGCCGTCCATTGCCTGTCTCTTCCCTCCTCCCGCTGGTCACGCCGCCGGCCCCGCTGACTCGCTCCCGCCGCAGGGGGCACCGCTCGCCTCCGCCTCCCTCCCTCCCTCCCTCCCTCTCTCCTCTCTCTCTCTCTCTCTCCGCGCGCCCTCGAGCGCGCCACGCAGCCGGAGAGGTCGGGCGCTGCGCAGGGGAGCCGCGAGGCCGCCCGATGGTGCTGCGGGGCGGCGGCGGCGGAGGTGCCCGGCGCCTTCTGCTGCTGGCGCTGTGGCCGCCGCCGACGTCGCCCAGCGTGCTGCGCCTCTGGCTGCTGCTGCTGGGGCTGCTGCTGCTGGCGGCGCTCGGGCATGCGTGGACCTACCGCGAGGAGCCCGAGGAGAGCGACAGGTGGGTGGGACGGCGGCTTGGAGGGCCAGGGCGGCGGCGGCGGCGGCGGTGCGGGGTGTGAGGGAAGGGCCAGTCTCCTCAGCTTGCCTTTTTTCCCGCGCCGCGGCTCCGGGGCTCGTGCGCCTCCGCGACGGCCAAGCAAGCCGGAGCTGCCCCCGGAGGAGACGTGAAGGGAATTGGACTTTGGACGTCTCTCAGGCGACGGTTTAAGCACGGTCTCTCTCTTTCTCCCCCTCGCAGGGAGGTCTGCTCCAAGAGCAAAGTGGCCACCACCAAGTACCCGTGCCTGAAGCCCAGCGGGGAGCTCGCCACCTGCTTCAGGTCAGTCCGCGCCGCCGGTCGCCCGCTCGCCCGCCTGCCTCTTGCCGCCGCCGCCGCCGCAACGCCGCGAGGGCGGAGCGAGGGGGCTGCGCGCGCGTTTGCGCGGGGGTACCTGAGGCGCTGAGGAGAAAAACGGAGTGGGGGGTTCGAGGGCAGAGGCTAGTTGAAGGACCCCCCCCCCCAATATATCCTCTCTCTCACACACATATATATCTCACGCAGGCACCATACTTCTCTTTTTGTTTATTTAAGTTTTTATTATTAAAATAATTCAGCATTAATACACACAATGTTACGAATATACAAACATACATGTCATACAACCCTTTAAAATGTTCATACATACCCACACTCAATCCCACAGATAGTTTTCCCATCACCTTTGTGTTAGACTTCCAATCTACTCAAATGCAATTTCTTCCCACTTCTATTACTTGCTTTCACACACCTTTAACCCAATTGTCTGCTGCTTTTTCTATTACACATTGTTATCCATCTTATTTAGTGTTTCAGTATTTAAAACGGAACTTGTTTATTCTAATAGTTCTGATTTTTCAGGCACCATACTTCTCATTTGTGTGTGTGTGTGCATAATATTATCTATATAATATATCTATCTGTTAGAGTTGCCATATTTCAAAAAGTAAAAACCAGGACACCGCTGGTTTTCAAGGAAACCACCGAAATTATTGAGCTTTTTTGAGGAAACGCTCCAAAGTTATTGAGGTGGGTTTTTTTACACAAATGCTAAAGACTTTTTCGATTGACTCGCCTAAGATCCAGGACAAAGCACCACCTTTCAGAAATCCCCACCCCATGTCAATTCCGCCTTTGAAATCCCGGTAATGTCCAGACTTATGGCATCCCTAATATAGATATATTGGGAATTCCTGGACATTTCTGGGATTTGTCCGTCGGAAATACTGGGAAACATGTCTGCAAATTGGTAAAAATGTCCGGGGAAACCCAGGCATATGGCAACCCATGTTGGAAGTGTTGATTTTGGGGGGCAAATTTCCTTAAAAATAGCTCAGAAACTTCAAATTTGCCCCCCCCCCCCAAAAAAAACTCAGCAACACTGCCAAAGAAAAAGCTCAACTTATGTGTCTGGGTTTTCACATTTTGAAATCTGGCAACCCTAATCTATGTATCACACAGGAACCGTGCTTCTTCTTCCACCACGTGTCTGAGTACCAGAGGCTTGGGACTATCCCTTGTTTTATTTATATCTTCATTAAAAAGCATTTATTTTTATTGTTTTATTTGTAGACCACTTAATCACAGGCGTCTCTGTGTGTGTTGTGCAAGGAAATCAATAGTACAATGAGGTTAAAGGTTAAACTACACAACCAGAATTCAGTTAAAATGCCTGCTGAGGTCGGGCATGAAATTAATATATTCCTGCTGAAATCAATATATTAATATGATCACTTAGTATTAACAAAAGAAGGGAAGTGTCAAGCGGTATGCAAGGATAACACTAAAAATAAATAAAACTAAAATAAAAACAGTAAAACAGAGAAGAATGGGGGATCAGAAATAGCAGCGTTCGATCTTCTGGGTTAGGGAAAGCCTGGGCAAAAAGATAGATCTTCACAAGATGCCTTGTGAACAGAGGCACCTGGGAGACCATGGTGTTTAAAAGCACACCCCTGAGCATGTGCAGAGTGTCATTTTCCTTCCTACACCACTGCCCAGAGAAAGGGAAAGGTGCACACACACACAGAGAGAGGGAGAGAGAACACGCAGGTGAACAGATAGCAACAGGAAGAAGTAGCAGCAGCAGCAGAACTTGATGGGCCTCAAGTGTTGACAGGAGGCCCTTCTGGGCTGTGGGCCTTGGCAGACGCCTGGGGTGCCAAACCCTGGTCTGGTACCCTGGTCTGAGACCCCCCCTCCCATTGTTTGCCAGGTGTCTATCACCTGACACCATAAGGACATCATGTGGTTGACAGGTGCATTGTTCTGCTGGCTTGTCAAAGTGGGGCCACAGGGTATGTGTGCGTGTTTAGGAATCTGTCCTGCCAGGTGGATCCAGTTCCCTACCCCTGAGCTGCCAGCAAGTTCTGTTTCCTCAGCTATTGATGCTTCTGTACATCTCCCTTCCTTGTGGGTTGGCCGCTCTTTCTCTCTCTATGTGAGATAGCATCTCAGGGCAGGGCTCTCTTTGCACCCTGAGACTTCCAGTCACTCAGCTGTGTTATAAAATGTGAAGGGAGCCTTTGCAATTACATTTGGGGGGGGGGACACTTGGAAGAGTTGAGTGTCAAGGAAGAAACCTTGATTGCCTCTGGATCCCTGGCATTTGTCTGGTGCGTGTTTACATACACAAGTTTCCACACTTTAAGCCAGTGTTTACTGCTTCAAATCTGGAGTATATCCCAGAACTACTCTGCTTAGAAATTAATAATTGGACCTAGTATAAGCTCAGTAACAAACAATATACCAGGCAATCTTATATAAGGGGGTTGTTATTTATGGCTTAAATTCCTGCATACATTTACTTTGATGCTGCAGTGGTGCCTTTTTTGATTCTGCAAGTGCAGGCACACAATGCTAACAAGCCTGTTTGCAATACTTTAAATGGTGCTTGTGTGCATAGGCAGGAAGGCCGGTCTTCAGTGGTGTGCAGTGAGCATCTGACCACATGTATTTGAGCATGCAACCATAGACAACAATTTGTAATGCCTTCACATGCATAGGGGGAAAGTTTCTGTAAAGATGGGCAGGGAGACTGCTCTCCTCTTCCCCTGGTTTTCAAACCACATTATTTATTATTTCTGGTTACAACAGGAACACCAAAAATCCGGGTGCTACAGAGTAACACATTAAGTAAATAATTAAATGGGTTTGTGAAGTAAGCATGCATACTAAAGGTATACATCCCCTTTCTAAGATTAAATAAGGAGGGCGGCTGTTTGTCCTGTTTTGATAATGCTGATATAAAGAATCAAAGCATGTTGCTGTACGCTCCCTTCTTTCTTTTTTTTACCCTTTATCCTTAAATATAAGCAAGATTAGGTCTTTGGAGTTTGTTGAATCTTGCTAGCTGCCCTATTGAAGTTTCTGTGCTCTGGTACTGAAATGGTGTTCTTGCAGTAGAAAATGCCTCTGGGATTTCACCCTGAGTGTTTACACAACCCCAGTGCCATTGCTGATACAGGAACCCTTTGGTATCTCTAAGAAATAGTGATGGCTTGTACTGCGGACCTAAACAAACTTATTTGAAAGGAAGGTTGCACTCCTAAGAATATTCACCAGGATGCAAGCCCCATTGAAATCATTGTGATTTATTTCTGTCTAGACATGATTAGGATCTGGCTGCAAGTCTTGCTGATTTCCATGAACTTATTTCTCTGAAAGCTCTTCACGCATTTTAATTTTTTTTTTTAGTGCGCACCTAAAATGTAAACTCTGAATGCAATAACGATGTGTTTGCAAATGCGTATAATATGCGTAACTAAGGAATCAAGATTTTCTGCAGCTCTCAGCAAATTTTGGTTTACCCTGTTAAGTGTGCAAGATAGATGTAGATGTGCTGAGGACAACAGTTTTAGAGTATGTTCATCATTAAAGGTTAGTGCTGGTTTATTGCTCTGATGACCTGCCGTGATTTGACACTGAAAAACCAGCTGTAGTAGTTTACGGTTTTTTCCCCTGGGATAGAAAGGAATTACTTCTTCCTTCCTGGGCAGAAATGGATTGGCAGAATAGCCTTTTCAAATGCTCTGTCACTACTCAGTCAGTGCAAGGAGATACGGGCTAACCATTACCGTACTTTCTTTCTCAGCCTTTGGTGCAAAACACAGAGAAGCCTCTACACTGTCTACAGCAATACCTAGGCAAATGTTACAGAAGCGAAGCAGTTACAATACTGAATATAATTTGGGAGTGCATTACATTCACTGTGTGGAAAAACTGAATGTGCCCTGAGCGATTGCAAGATAAACGATCTTGCCTTTAAGTATTGGAGAAATATATATCATATATGGTGCAGTAGTTTATGGCGCTTAGTGCATATGCATGTAAAATTCTGTAACTTACCTGCCACCTGCACTTGTTTGGCTGATGCATGTGGCCCTCCCTGACTCAGAAACTAGAGGCGTCATGACCATACTGGTTTGTAGAGAACTGTGCAGATCTGAAGTTCAACATGCAAGAAGATTTCATGAACTGCGTGACAATGAATGCATAGTTTATAAGCGACTTCTCTGATTGGGCCGTCTTGCTTTCTTGTGGGAAAGGCTACTTCAATTTATTTGGCAGGGGTGCTGTTAGATTTCCAGTGCCTTGGAACATTGACACATTTTAATAATTCTAAATATATTTTAATAATTTTAATAACACATTTTAATAATAAAAAGCAAAAGCGTTAAGGAGTGAAAACACATAGCAATGCAGGCTAATGATTTATCCACAAGTCCCATTATTACAGGGTTGTGGAGCCTGTGGACCCTCCAGATGTTGCTGAACTACAAAATCCATATTTGTGTAACATTGACGCTGTTGGTTGGGGAAGATGGGTTTTGTAGTCCAGCAAGGCCAGCGACTGGCTGGACACTGAGGAGTGGTGGCTGGATACTGATGAGTGGGAACTGGGAGAAGGTGGGTTGGAGACCCACTTGGAAGAAGGGGTCAATGAACTGGGGGAGCCTATAACAGCCAGGAGACGAGAGTCAGAGGCATGAGAAGCTGCAGGATTGGAGGGTGAAGAACAGGTGCGGGAGGAGGGAGAGAGAGGCCAGGTTGGTGGAGACTCAAGGGCTTGCACACCTCCTCCTCCTGCCCCCACTTCTCCTGCTCCGCTGTCTCCCTGGTCCAAAAGAGGGCTGAAGCGGAGGAGCAGAAGGCTATACACAGGTGTAGTCTTCACCTGCTTATGTGCAGCTCAGGTGGGGGAGATACCTAAGCCAAGGTCAGGGGTGGGGCCTTTCTGTTGTGGCAACTGCCTCATCTAGGAGTATCTGAGAGTAGATGAACTGATGCACATGCCTTTTCCTAATGTGTAAGTGTACTTTTGACAATGAAGAGTCAATTCTTCCCTCTGGATATCCCTTGCCTGACAGCGCTGTGACAAGCAAAATTTGGAGAGCTACAGGTTAGCTACCTCTGCCTTTATGACATGCTTTATGAAATGACAGTGAGGAGTCCACTCCGTGTTTTAGTACTTTTGCATCTGTGCAGCACAATCCTATGTGTGTTTATTTGGAAGAAGCTTCCACTGACAAAATTATACATGGTAAAATAAGGATGACAAATTTTGCTTAACATGAAACTTTATTTTGCAATGAAATTGGGGGGGGAAATCCATGAAAAGAAAAAGCTCTGCATAACCAAGAAAGGTCACTAATTAAGAGAAGAATGGAAAAGGAAAATCACTTATTTATTATATAATGGGTGGGCTTTGGGGACCAGGTAAAACAAGTTAATAAAATGTTCAGTAAGTGTTGAGAGAGTTTAGATGTATTTGTTATGCAGTTGAATCATTGTCAGAAAGTGTATGTATCTGAATCTGTATTTGATTGGGATGTGGTCAGAAGCTTAAAGGATTTCCACATAGGAGATAAACAGAAATCATGATCCTGTAGCATCTTTTAAAAAAATTGCAATTCCTTGTTTGCTGCACTGGCTGCGCGTGAAACTTTTGCCACATTTGTGCTGTGATGGTGATGGTGCCTTGTCAACAGTGCAGTGCCGTGTGTGGCTGGTGGAGTCTCTTATGCTGAAATGACCCTAGAAGGATTGTGAGAAACGTCCTGATTGTGGCTCGTGTTATGTGGCTGTCAAAAGTGGTGTACTCTTGGTGCTAAAGCTCGAGGATAATGTGTTTCTTTGAGACGCAGCGTGTGCCTGAAGAGCAGCTGATTGCATTATACATGTAAACATTTGCTGCAGGCCATCTGAGAAGACGTATGACTGGTTTAATGGTTGCATGCTGTTTATAAAAATTGTTAACTAAATCCAGGCAGACAGCAGTGATTAACATTGGAAAGGGTCTGTCATTTTTCCCAAGCTAAGTCCTTTGGCCTCTGTTGATATTCAGTGTTTAGAGAAAGCTGGATCCGTGTGGCAAAATGAAATTACAGCTCCATATGTTCTTCTGCTGTAGGGTTAGTTATGTGGGGGGAAATTGCTTTAGTTTATATTTTAATGTGAACCTATCCAATTTGCACTTGCTGAAACAATATGTGAGCCAAAACACAGCTATCTTTCAAAACAAGCACCTCTCTGAATTTTGCATTGCAGTTCTCCAGCCAGATAGTATCTACATAAATGCATGTATTAGGGAGAAATGCACATTAAAAAGCAATATATTAGGGGATATTCCTTGCAAAAATGTGCATACTAAAGACTTCTTTTTAAAAACCCACAAACTGATGTAAAAATGATATTCAGAGCGGAATTAAATTTCTGTTTAAATTTCTACCCTGCCCTTCATCCCAAAGGAGCCCAGAGCAGCAAACATCAAAATGTTAAAACAATACAATTACAGATAAAATAAAAGCGTATTTAAAAACATCTACAAACATGTAAAAACTCTTTAAAAACAATCACATACCCTCATACCTAATTTCAAGGTTGCAGACAGCAGTGTCTTTCAGCCATCAGATACCTGAGTAGCCAGGAAACTTTCCCCCTCCCAATTGCTCCTTATGTTCAACAATGAGGGGGACAGGCACAGCTGACCAGGGATGGAGCCACCACAGAGAAGGCCCCATCATGGGTCAATGCCAACTGAGCAGCAGTGACAGGTAGCACCACCAACATGACGTATCCTGCTGATCATATGGCCTAAAATGATTGATATTGGGCGAATTGTTCCAGTTACTTGGGTCCCAAGGTGATTAGGGTTTTTTATGCAAGTACCATCAACTTTAATTGGGCTTGGTAGTTCACTGGCAGCCAATGCAGAGTTTTCAGGGCATATTGTCTCATCAGGCTGCCCCCATTAAACTTTATAGTGAACTTCATTAGTAAAATTATCTCAAAATGGCTTACATAAAGCACCACCATGGTTAATTAGCAAAAGCCAGCTATCAAAATAAAACAGATAATAAATCTCACTCAGAATCATTAAAACCCAGTGGCAAAATTTTGTCAATGCTATCAACAGGCTCAGAGTGGTTTGCAGCAGTTTATCTAAGTACTAATAGTTCTTGTTCCCTGTGGGGTGTTGCAGGATAAATGAGGTCAGTGAAAATGGCATTGGATAAACATTTTTAAAAACAACAACGACAGAGTTAACTGGGATGGGTAATTGTGTCTCTTGTGTTCTGCCCAGAAGGCAAGCAGATCTTCACTCCTAGGCTCTGGGAGTGCATCACAAACTGTCAGTGGCAACCATTTTTGTAAAATTCAGTTGCAGTTCCCATCCAATGTGATGCACAAAGTATTAAGGCTTTTATGTGCTATGGTGCTTTTGATTAAAAAATGTCCTTCTGACACATTCTGCCCTTTTTATTGCTTCCTATTTATTGCTGTGGGGTTAGTGATAAGTTGTTCCTTAATTTAATTAGTCTGCTTCAGTACCTCAGGGGTGTGTGTGTTAATGATGGTTTTCCTGTCATTATTTTTCCTTTTCTTTCTGTTATAGTGAAACAGCACCATTTCACTATGAAAGAAAACATGGAAGTAAAGAAAAGAGCAATTAATTATTAAAGTAATAAAAGGGACAGAAGCTGCAAGGAGGAAACTACTAAACAACATTGCGGGGACCTTTACTGAATAAGACTTAGAAGGATTCTTGACCCTAGAGAAGGGCATTCCTGGGAAATAGAACATATAGCAAGCGTTATGTATCAAATCACCATTTTAATTTCACTTATGTCTGATTGTGGAAAAGCAGTGCCTTGACAGTCCTAAGGGCCGTAGTGTACAAGTAGCCAATGTTTTCCTGGGAAGCATCCTAGCAGTGTAAGGACAGATCTTTTCTTCATTGGTACTGCATTATATATAGCACTTGCCAAATTTTAGCAACTGCTTGCAGAATAATGAACATCTTATTTTGATTTATTTTCTCTAGATTTGGAAAAGCTTGTGTTAACGAGGGAAGCGGGAAAGATTTTTTTGTAACAAGTTTTGCAAAGGATGACCAGAATGATAATGAACTAGATTTTCAAGTGCTAAAGATTAATGCAAAGGGTCAGATGATGAGGACCTGCTTTCCTAAATAAAAACCAAGCAAGATATCTTATTACTAACCTCCTCTGCGTAATCTGATCCACTTTCCCTAAAGATAAAGCTTTTAATGCATGAGAGGTACTTTGAATCATAGTGATCGCTCCAGTGGGATTAGCTCTGAGTCAACGGCACAAAAACATATTTAAAAGTCTCTCTCACATTATTTATATACTATGTGTGAATTCATGTTATTAATGTGGGAGAGAAATCAATGAAGGAAGTATTACATTTGGACTATAGACTGATTTAAGACCGTTCTGTGAAAACGCACAAGTGCTAGTGCAAAGAGCCTCAACACTAGTACACAACAGTGCTACTTATTATTGTTGGCATCTGTCTGTCTTGAGAGACAATGGAGTGTGCTTTCGGGGGTGAAGTCAAACCACTGGAGAATCACAGCGCCTGCTGTGGCTGCAGAGACTGGTAACTTGCAACTGCTGCCTCCCACGTTGCTTTGGCCAGAAGACCTTCATCTGTCTGTCCGTCTATCTATCTATCTACTATCTATCTATCTATCTATCTATCTATGTATCTATCTATCTATATCTATCTAGGGTATGACACCCATACTTTTTATAGCTGTGGAAGAAACCCTTGGATGAGGTATGAATAGGCTTACATTGCTGACAAACTGGATAGTAAACTGTTCATGATGATATTCACCAAAGCACAACTTAGAAACCATTTTGATCCTGCATGTCTGTGTTCGAGCTACCTACATTTCGCTGGGGCTAAGTCATTCTGTTGGCTCTAGTGGTTTGTGCATAGCAGCCAAAAATCACCATGTGCAAGGAAATTTCAGAGTGATTACATCTGAAAGTATTGCTCTGTATTGTCTCATTTTGGCTTATTGTACAATATGACATGGGGCCTTTCCACATCATCACAATCCCTATCCGTAGAGGTGGGTGGCATTCTACCTACCTCACAGGGACCCTGTGAAATAATTCATTTCTGTCAATGCTTTACAGATAAAGAGCCAAGGACGATGCAGTGTATCTCTTCCAAGGCCATGAAGCAAAATCCTTGGCTTGTGTTGTGATCTGAATTTGATCAAGACAACATGTGCTATGGTAGTTTTTGAAGGGTTTTTAAAAAAATTAAAATAACTGTCAAAATTAGTGGTTGACTCTTTGCACATTTGTGAGTAAATGGTGAAGTCTGACTCCCTGCATGTTTCCAGAGAACTTGAAGTAAGTTGAGTTCGCGTTCTGGTTTGCTTTAGTTTGCATTTTGTTATTGAAAGGCTGCCTTTTATTTTCACAAGAGTACCTAAGAACATCTGTTAAATTATAGTTAAGCTTTTTGGCAGTACCTTTTTATGGAATACATATCTACCTCGTGCTACATATTTAAGCGGTCTACTTGTTCTTAAGTAAATAAAGTAGTGTGTAAACAACAAGTCTTTTAGCCACATGCATGCAAGATGAGCTTTTGCTACGGGTATCTGCGTAAGACATATATCTTTACTGTTGCTGCGGCTACTGCTACTTTTGACATTTTAGTCTGTGCTCTGTATTGTGTGTAGGGAATGTAATATTACAGTTTCATGGTAACATTAAGCTTTTCATAGCTGAAGTTCTCGAAAGAGCGCCACCAGAATAATAATTTGGTAGGTTGCTACCAAATTAGTAAAAACGTGTCTTTGCTGTTCCTTGATCCCCCTCGCTAGTTGTAAAGGATTCTTACCATGTTTACAATGAATGGTTCAGATGGGCTCCTACTTTAACTCCTCTCCCTGCAGGAGCAACAAACCATGATTCCCAGCTTAGTGTTACTGCTGAACTGAGGATTGTGCTTTATTTCTCTCCATACAAACTGTGACATGAAGCCAAAGTTTGTTCTTGGCATCCCAAATATCTTCTGTGTCAGCAGTAACAAATCATGAACCCCAGTTTGGACATAAAGCTAAATCAGGGATTGTGGTTTGTGTTGCTCGTGGTGTGGGAGGAATGAGTTGCCAGTTTCTGGGACCATCTCATAGCTTCCCCTGAGGACTTTGATGAGCAGGACAGTGGGAGGAAGAGGCCATGTGCACCAGAGCTCTTCTGCTCAAGCTTCTGACTTGAGCCAGGCCCTTCCGCTGAGTCTCTCCCTTTGGACGTTTCGTAGCCCCCTTGCCTTCATTGGCTCAGGGTGAGGAGACATGGCCACCCAATGCCAGTGTGCTGGTCCCATGGGTTACCCAAGAGGCGAAGTCCAAGTCCGGTCCGTGGTCAAAGGTGCAACGTGGAGGCAGTCCGTAGTAGCTGAAGCTGGGTGCAGGGCAGGGAATCGGGTGATGTCAGGAACAGGCTTGCAAGCAGGGAGCCAGGGCGGGTCAGGAGCTCAGGCAGGAACTAGCAAACAACAATGTTGCTTCCACAACTTGGGACTGGGGCTGGCTGGCTTTTATCTGACCCGAGGCATAGGGCAGCCCCGATCCTCTGGTGACTCGCCTCTCCTGGCCTGGAGGTGAGCACTCCTCCTGCGGGAACTTAGTTCCCTCTGCCTCTCTGCCCTGAGCCTCTGCAGCTCAGGAGAGGCTGGAGGGTTACCGGACCCAGAGGCAACCTCCTCTTCCTCTGACGGGGCTGAGAGTGGAGCACCTGCAGGCAATGGGTCCTCCATCACCTCAGGAGCCAGAGCAGACTCAGCTGATGCCTGCACCTGAGGATCCTACACAGGTGAGGACCCTTCAGGCTCATGCCCAGCCCCAGCTCAGCTGGTTCTGGAGGCACGGAATCCTGTGCAGGCTGGGATCCCTCAGGTTCAGCATCCGAGTCTGAATCCCAGCCATCACAGCCAGGGAGGCCACTTCTCTGCTAGATGGAGGGGCAGGGGAGCTCCACAGCATGGACTGAGCTGTCAGGGGTGGAGGAAAGCCAAGGTCGCCTTTCTGAGGTGCGTATCAAGAGGCAGCAGCAGGCCAGGCCAGGAATTTTCAGCAAGACAGGTATACATGCAAGTAGCTGGACTGTCCCTACCTCTCTTTAAAAACATGGTGGGTAGGTGGAGCCAGTTGCTGGGGAAAAACTTCATGATCTTGTGCAGTCTCTGCTCCTGAACACAGAATCCTCACCCCTGACCTTGTTTCTGAGCCGCGGTTAGGGAACCTTGAAACGCCTCTCTTGAGTAGGTTTGTTCCTTGCTGCGTCTGTGGTGTCTAAGGCTGTCTGGATTAATTCCTACTCTGGTCTTGTTGCTGAGTTTGCACCTTTTGTTTGTTGGCTTCTTTATGCATGAGAAAGTGCATGTGTGCTTCATGAGCAGGAACAGGACAGTCCAATTCAAGACGTTCATATTAAAGTGCAAAGCCCTAAATGACTTGGACCTCAATATCTGAAAGACCACCTCCTTCTCTACAGACCCTCTCGGGTTTTAAGATAAGCAGAGGGGGGTCCTCTTGGTACTTCCATCTGTCTCAGCAATTATGGGGGATTGGAGAGGGAATTCTCTCCGGCAGCCCTTAAGTTGTGGAATTCCCTCCCCACAGAGTTGTGTCTGGCATTTTCATTATGCGGTTTCCATCATATGCTGAAGACATACCTCTTTCACACCTGATATACATACATACATACCATATATATATATATATATATATATATATATATATATATACACCCACACACAAATATATATCTATATATGCGCAAATGATTTGAAATTGTTAATATTAGTGTGCTTGTTTTTTTTAAATCATTGGGACCTTATGGTGAAGGATGGGAATTAAATTGAAATCATCCTAATCTCCATATTCATAGTAAACCATAAATTTTGGTTTACTGCTGGGGTCATTGAAGTCTTTGAGTCCGTGGGCACATTTGCAAACCAACGAAACTGTCCTGGGCACCCCCCACCCCACAACCAAGTAGAGGCCGCAACCTATTCTTTTGGCTACAATTCATCAGACACGAGAAGGGGAGGGATCCCATGTAAATCCACAGGTGTCATGTTGCCAATCCCTAGTTTACCATGTGAATGCTGCCTTTGAGTGGTTGGTAAATAAACAAACAACAATTCAATTCCCCCTGATGAATGGCACTTTAAGCGACCAATTCATAGTATCCCATAGCAAGATCAACCCTGGTCTATCTATCCATGAGTTCTGGCCTAGCAAAATATGGCAGTGTATCCCCCAGTTGTATCACAGATGAAAACCAGGGATACAGTTGTAACATCCCTATTGTAGGACAAAAATTATATTTTTTCCCTAATATATTTGTAATGCAGACAACAAGCAACGCTGACCTTTAAATCAGCAGAGGTCTGGCTATATTGCAAAGAGTAAATGAATGCAGCAGATTTTGCTGTGGAGTTCAGAGACCTGAGACTCCTAGAAATAAGAAGCTGGACTGAGACTATGGTTATTAAAGGAAGATGTTCATTTCAGGGTATTTTCTTTCTTCTCAGTTGCAGACATACTGGCGTTTTCCCTTCCAGAATTGTCTCTAAATCCTGTGGTGGACCAATCTAGGCTTAGGTTGGAGGATTCTGGAATTCTGGTCTGCATCAAGGCATGAACCTGACATACAAATTACAAGCATCTACAAGAATGTGTAACAGTGCTGGGCAGAAACCTTATGGTAGCAATCCTTGGGGGCAGCAGTTCTTTGTATGAGCTGCTGGGTGTGATATAACAGGCTGCTCTGTATTTATTAAGACATGTATCTATTGCAATCTACATTAGTCCCAAGGTGATAAACACATTTTTAAAAGCAACACCAACAATAAAAGTGCATTACATGAAGCTAATGTACTGTACATATGCATTTGCAGTTGAAAGATGAAATCCCTCCCCCCCCCGCCATCAGATCTTTATAATGCAATCCTAAGCATGTACAGGGACGTGGGTGGCGCTGTGGGTTAAACCACAGAGCCTAGGACTTGCTGATCAGAAGGTCAGCGGTTCAAATCCCTGCAACGGGGTGAGCTCCTGTTGCTTGGTCCCTGCTCCTGCCAACCTAGCAGTTCGAAAGCATGTAAAAGTGCAAGTAGATAAATAGGTACCACTCGAGCGGGAAGGTAAATGGCGTTTCCGTGCGCTGCTCTGGTTCGCCAGAAGCGGCTTAGTCATGACCCAGAAGCTGTATGCTGGCTCCCTCGGCCAATAAAGCAAGATGAACGCCGCAACCCCAGAGTCAGTCACGACTGGACCTAATGGTCAGGGGTCCCTTTACCTTTACCTTTAAACATGTACATTCAGAAGTTATTCCATGAAATTCAGTGAGGTTTACTGTCAGGTAAGTGGGTATAGGATTGTAGTCTTGATCATCAGAGTCAGGGGAAGAAGTGACAGCTCTAACAAATCTTGCCGAACAAAAACAAGTAATAAATGAACAATTTTTCAAAATCATTCGCAAAACTTCACCAAGCTTAACCACAATGAATTAATTTTGCCAAAATTAATACTGGGGACAGGTGGAATGTATGATATGAGGGGTAGAGAAGGCATTCTCTATCAAATGCTAAACTCTCTGAAAAAAGTTCTGAGTCATCCTTTCTGAATCCAGGGTCTTGCAGTTTGTAAGAAGAAGACTCGGTTAAAACTTAATCAGGCAGGACATTTTGTTCAAACAAGCTTTCCTAAATACAGAAGCTGGATATTGTTGGAGACTTATTTTATCTCTACAGTTTTGTATTACAAAGTTTTGATTTGTTCTTAAACTTGTTCTTTGCAAATGTGCACAGAGTCCTCTAAATATAAAATATTTAGCCTTTGGATGATAATTCCCTGCTCCTTTTTACGCAAGTGTTTCCCTCCTGTGGTAATGATAAGATGTGGGATATATTGCCTTGACTTCTTGTGACCTGCTTATTTGTTCCCATGGCGGCTGGGGAGACATGTGAGACAGTCAGCCCCGGTTTTATCATAAAGCAGCTCATTTGCGTTTCCATGAGAAGGCCATTCCCTCTGTAAATATGGGACTTGGAAGCAGACGCAATTCGAACCTGCAGTTTAATGCCATATTGCATATGAGCAGAGTTGCCTTTCTCAGGGATAGCCTGGGGCATTTGGGCACTTGAGGCAAAATGCCTTGCTACCACCCCTACAATGGGGGAGGCAAATGTGGGAATGTTCGGGGAGGCAGGAGAGGATATATTGTTTATTAATATTCTTCCTAACTTACGCTAGCAAGTTCTATAACTTAGCAGAGTTTTAACACTCCCCTTTAAATGCACAGCAGGTAGCTGGTTGCAAGCTTGATTAAGCTTCTCAATATAGATTCCTGGTAAGATCCCTTTATTTCCCTCTTAAAAGCTTAAACACACCACAATCTTATTTAAGATATATAAAAGTAGTTTACTCACATCATCAGTTCACAGTTGGATCCCTGAAGGCAAACTTAGTTACAGATATATATACACGTGAGTCTATCCTATATGGAGATAGTCCCTTTGTCTTCTGTAGGCTGATCATCTCTAGCTAAAAAAGCTGCTGGTCCATCAAAGAGAGGAAGTCAAAAAGAGAAAGATGGCTGCATGCCTTGTGCTTTGGTTACCTGCACAGGTAAGGTCACACCCACCTCTAGTCACATGCAAGAGGAAGTATGTCTCAGCCCAGGAGGAAACAGGAGGTTTTCGACTGGCTGGCCCAAACATCCCCTTGCATGTCCACTCTAGGAAAACAAGGAATGTTGTACTTGACTTTTACTTATGTATCACATCCCACAGCAAATTCCGTAAGGAAACCCTTTCAGAGTCTTCTCCACTGGGACGGTGGGCAGGGTGAGATGCTTTCTGCATCCCTGCTTCTACCTGGTGGTGGGGCTTTGCACCAGCTTCTCCCTTCCTTTGCACATCTCCTCCACCCCTGCTCAGTGATGGGGTTTCTCCTGAAGGGAGAATCTGGTACAAAGCCCCACCACACTGCTGGGAGGGGTGGAGAGATGACCACCTCCCCTCTAGTTGACTTGGTGTTCTGCAGAGGTTTGTTGCTGTTCCCTTTCTGCCCTTAGAGACTATGGAGACCCGTGGCAAAGCTGGACAGTGGAATGGGTGTGTAGCCCTTTGCGGGGGTGCCACCTGCGGCAGGTGCCTCCTCCTGCCTCATGGGTGAGCCGGCACTTAATACTGATTTAAGAATAAAGGAGGCAAACAAACAGAGCCTGGCTTTTCACGTAGTTATGTCTTGCATGCTGTTTCTCAGTGTTCAGAATAAAATATTGCACTATGCTGGCAGCAGTATGATGTAGAGATGGCTAATGATGGATGTGTTGCTTCATTGAAAAACATTTATTAATACTCAATATTAATTTTGTTTTAAATAGGAAAGTATTTTCCAGCCAAACCCTGTGGTTATATGCTGACATATGATATAGTAATAACAGGCAAAACTTTTGTAGTAATACATTTTGGCAACTGATGTGAAAATAAAAGATCCCTTTTTGTTTTCCAAAGGCAACAGCAAAAGCAAGACATGATACAATCTTGTTATGGGTCCAAGTGCAACAGCAAGGTTCCTTCAGCTAGTTCTACTGCGGTTCTTTAACAGGAGCAGTGTGTTTCTAGTTAAAGCGGATGATATAGCTGTGCTTAGCTCTTTCTGATCTGATGGTTGAGATTCTTCATTTGTTAAGATATGAATTTCAGTACATAACTCCTTTTCCCTCCCTTACTAATTCGCTCAACAACAAGGAATGCTGTGGCATCATTTATCAAAAGTTGGGAGACCTAACTTCCAGTGGCAGTGGCTGAACCTTTATTTGCATTGGAAAGTCTACTTAAGTATAAAAGCATACTCCAAAATGATCAGGAATCCCTTTGATTCCATAAATCTCCGGGGGTGTTCCATCCTAAAGGGGGAGACTGGTGCTGCTAGACCAAACTTCACCAGATAATGGCCTGATCATGACATCAGGGCTAATTCACACCCCCTCTTAATATCCGTACCAGCCTCCTCACACCAAATCAAGGGGCCTAGATGGAAGTACAGTAGTACCTTGGTTTAAGAACAGCTTAGTTTATGAACAACTTGGATTAAGAATGCTGCAAACCTGGAAGTAGGTGTTTTGGTTTGTGAACTTTGCCTTGAATCAGAATATGTTTTGCTTCCTGTTGAGTGTGTTCCATTTGTCAATTGAGTCCCCCACTGCTATGGGAAAGCACGCCTTGGTTTAAGAACGCTTTGGTTTAAGAACGGACTTCTGGAATGGATTAAGTTCGTAAATCAAGGTACCACTGTAATATAAAGGAAGAGTTGAGCTTTTTGTTAGGAGGTATGGAATAATTAAGAGCTAGAGTTGAGAGTTGGCATAATTTAGTAACCAAGAATGTGAATTGGGATTACCCTGGTTTCAATCTCAGCCCTTGTCTGCAGTAATGACCTGCTTGATAGTAATACTTACATGATGTGGTTGTAAGATTACTTAGAAACCTTATGTGAAGCACTTGGCATAAGTTTCTACAGTTTCAGAATAATTGGAAGCAACAGTATTGCCTAAGCCTGGAGACTGGTTTTCTTCTACAGTATTTTATCTGGTGAAAAGAAATTGATTTTTTAAAAGTTTTCCATTGGTTCAGTAATATGGGAAAAGACTCCCTCCGTCAACTTGAAAGTAAATGGGTAGGCTTCTGTTGTGTGTATCTGCGCATAGCACACTAATGGCAGAAAGAAATTGCTTCCACTTGCTTTCCAGAACAGAGCTGTGTTAAGTACAGTATATGTATACATCTGTTGAATGCAGTTTCTTACAAAGTCCAGTACTGTATGTGGAAAGTCTCTTGTGTTTCATTCCTTTCCCAGCCTGTGACCTTTTCCATACAAGGCCTCTGCCCTGCCACTGAAATCCACAATATCTGCAGCATCTTTGGAAACAGGATTTAATATTTGTTCAGATACAGGAAATTGCCTGAGTCCTTATCTTAATTATTAAAACATTTGCCGGTAGGGGGATACAGTATTTCAGACCTTTGATTCCAAATATGAGAAGGAAACATTCAGCCCGATAACATCAAGGTAAGACCGTTTATTCAGCAGAAATACACTTGTGCTTTTGTCAGGCGCTAATTGGGGCGCTAACTGAAAAGTACAGTTGTGTAAAGTCTCCTGTAAAAAAAGGAAAAGGGGAAAAAAAAACCTTCTGTGGAATGCAGTTGCTCACAAAGTCCAATATACTGAAAGACTGCTGTGCTATGCATTTCAAAAGGATGAAAGTCGCTGCAAGAGAGCTGGAACTGGGCTGCTGAACCACAAAGGGCAACATTCTTGTCGCCGTTCGTCCTCAGAAGTTTCTACACCGTTGCAAATTGCCAGAACCCCCCTAAAGGATATGCTGAACTGCTCCCCCAGTTTATTTTGTTCTGTGAGCTATACAGATGTAACTCTTAAGTGGGGAACCTACGGCCTAGATGCCAGATTTTTAAAAAAACCTCATTCTGGAAATGAAGGCAGAAAGAAAGCCTACTTTCTTATATGAAAATGTATATTTCCCCTTAAATAATAATATCCCCTAATTTCCCTTATCAGTTAATTAATACTTATAAGCCACCTTTCATCAATACAGGGGATGCAGGTGGCGCTGTGGGTTAAACCACAGAGCCTAGGACTTGCCGATCAGAAGGTCAGTGGTTCGAATCCCCGCGACAGGATGAGCTCCCATTGTTTGGTCCCAGCTCCTGCCAACCTAGCAGTTTGAAAGCACGTCAATGTGCAAGTAGATAAATAGGTACCGCTTGGGCGGGAAGGTAAACGGCGTTTCTGTGCGCTGCTCTGGTTCGCCAGAAGCGGCTTAGTCACACTGGCCACATGACCCGGAAGCTGTATGCCGGCTCCCTCGGCCAGTAAAGCGAGATGAGCGCCGCAACCCCAGAGTCGGCCATGACTGGACCTAATGGTCAGGGGTCCCTTTACCTTTACCTTCATCAATACAGATAGCATAGCAGAAAATGGAACGCAAAATAAAAACAAGCCAGTCAAATAATAATGCAAGTAACACATCTCCTAGTCAGCTTTGCAATTCATTTGCAGGATAACAGAATAAAGCGAGGACTGAATTAGGTCACGATAGAAACATGGTGCAGCTGCTTGTGAAAAAAAGGAGCACTCTCATATTAAAATATCTTATATTAAAAAAAAACCCTTTGGAGTAACTTTAAACGGAAAATAAATTATTTATAAATTATTTATTTACATTTCGCCTAAAAGTCTCCCAGGGAAGAGATTCCACAGCTTTTCTGGGAAGCATTTCAATGGCCAACCATTCTGACTGTTTGACGATCAGGAAACATGTACTATCTAAATCTGCTTTCCTAGTACTTGAACCTGTCATGTCTTGTCCTTCCCCCAGTGACTGTAGTAAACAGCACTCCCTGACCTGTGGTTCTTTCCCAGATAATTTATAATTTAAGAAACTGGTACAGTTGGTGTGTGTGTGTGTGTCATGTGGTGGGGGGGAGAGGATTAACCCCCCAAAAATTGATGTATTGTGTACACTATTCTGTATGACAGATGGGCTACCCTGTTGAATTCCAACTGCTGAGCTTGCAAATAAATTGGCAAAATTATATCCGTTGTTCATTGCCAGTAACATCCATTGTGCATGCGATACCGTAGAAGCACATATAGTATCATCTTCAATCTACAAAGTTCACAGACCTGATATATTTTAAAGGTCACTAGCATGCAAAGATAGAATCATTAGTTTATAGGCCACTAAGACACTATCTTGGCAGAAGTAAAGTCAGAAATATTGCAGCTCTATATTATTCTAAAACACAAGAACATCTTCTCTTTCTTGATTTCCTAGAACATTCTCAAAAAAAACAAAAAACAAAACCCAGCAAAGTTTCATTAAAACATAACCAACATTTTTGTATTTTGCACTAATCACATAAATGTATTGGTTACAACAAATTATTCTAGAACAACAGCTACCTTCGTATCAGTTTTGCATCAACATAATCATCATCATTTATTACTTATATCCTGCCCATCTAGCTGAGTTGCTCCAACTACTCTTGGTGGCTTCCATCATGATAAAAACACAGCAAAGCATTAAACATTAAAAACTTCCATAAACAGAGTTGCCTTTAGATGTATTCTAAAAGTCAGATAGTTGTTTATCTCTTTGACATCTGATGGAAGGGTGTTCCACAGGGTGGGCACCATTACTGAGAAGGCCCTCTGCCTGGTTGCCTGTAACTCCACTTCTTGCAGTGAGGGAATCACCAGAAGGCCCTCAGAGGTGGACCTCAGTGTCTGGGTTGGACAATGGGATTGGAGATACTGCTTCAGGTATACAGGGATGGGGTCGTTTAGGGCTTAAAAGGTCAGCATCAACACTTTGAATTGTACTTGGAAACTACTACTCTTATCTCCCTTTGGCCTCTTTTTTGGTGATGGGTGATCTCTGTGTCTCCCACCACCCTCTTTTTGGCAATGTATAAGCGGCTACCACACTGCACATATAAAGCACAAACTCTGTTTTGTTTTATGTCTCAGTGATATAGAACATGTGCAAACCTTGGAATCCAGAAGAGGGTTTGATTTACAAGCACCAGAAATACAAATACCATTGTTGGTAGCATGCAGAAACCCTCCAATTACAGTACAGTGGTACCTCGGGTTACAAACACTTCAGGTTACATACACTTCAGGTTACAGACTCCGCTAACCCAGAAATATTACCTCAGGTTAAGAACTTTGCTTCAGGATGAGAACAGAAATCGCAGCCCCAATAGCTAAAGTGGTGCTTCAGGTTAAGAACAGTTTCAGGTTAAGAACGGACCTCCGGAATGAATTAAGTACAGTGGTGCCTCGCAAGACGAAATTAATCCGTTCCGCGAGTGTCTTCGTCTAGCGGTTTTTTCGTCTTGCGAAGCAACCCGATTAGCGGATTAGCGCTATTAGCGGTTTAGCGGCTATTAAAGGCTTAGCGGCTTAGCGGCTTAGCTGCTAAAAGGCTATTAGCGGCTTAGCGGCTTAGAAAAAGGGGGGGGAGCGAAAAAAAATCTCAAGACTCGCAAGACATTTTCGTCTTGCGAAGCAAGCCCATAGGGAAATTCGTCCTGCGAAGCAACTCAAAAACGGAAAACCCTTTCGTCTAGCGGGTTTTCCGTCTTGCGAGGCATTCGTCTTGCGGGGCACCACTGTACTTAACCCAAGGTACCACTGTATGTCTTTCTGTGCTCCTCATGGTGACATCTTTTCTTTCACCGCAACCTTTTGTGCACATCTAAACAAGAGTAAGAAGGAACCCAAGGGAGCAAATACAACTGCACAGAATTAGATTTTTTGTTTCAATTAGGGATGAGGGGTTGAGCCAAAGGCTTCACAGAACAGGTATGTTCTGAAAGGAGAGGAGTGAGGTGTGGCACCTTGGACTAGATGACTCTCAGGGGTCCCAACTCTATGATTCTATGATTCTTTGATTCTATGAACTGGTGTTCTAGGAGGAATTCCAGATACAGCAAGTGAAATGGAGATGGATGCCTGATCCACTCCAAGGATTTCCTATGGTAGTGCAACAACAGCTGTTCTTTATAACACAGCCTAGCCTTTGTAGGTAATATACATTCAGGGAACTAGGAGACAAACCTGGCACGGGATAATCTAGGGTGGAGGTAAATCAAAACTTTTTAACTTTGCTGGTCATGAAGTCATACATCCTTAATTTTTGGCTCAGCTTGCAATGGGGTGAGGAATGAACTTTGTTCCTTGCACCACTCCACATCCCCCCTTTACCATCAATGAAAACACTTAATAAATAAATAAATAAATAAATAAATGAGCACTTGTATTATATATGATATATTCTAGTATAAAAACACTACTCAGGTGTATTTTGTTCTTTCCAGCACTGTGTTCTGCAGGACAGTGTTGGGAGACAAGAAGAAGTACTCTGGCTGCCTAACCAGTGTGGGGAAGCTTGTCTTTCTTGCAGCATTAAGGCGGGTAAGCATTCTCACATTGCCTACGCAACCAGGTAACTTCCCACTCTTCCAGTATGTCTTCCTGCTGGACAGCAAAGTGCAGGAAATAACAAAATTGCTATTTGATCCTCATGGTTGTGAACAGCCCCCAAATAAATGAAATTCTTGAAGCAAACTCTTGATTTTTCATCCTAGATACCACTCAAACTCTCCCTTGAATTTTCTGCTGGAAGAGAAATTCAACTCAGTCCTACGGAAGATACAAAAACCTATACTTGACCTCTCAAGGAGGGGGGAGATTTGCAAATTACAGCATAGATTTGGAGTTCTCTTGCGATACAGCATGCATGCATGCCTTTTCCATCCCACTGAAATAATTTTCAAAACAGAGCCTTGTGGCTCCACTAATATCTCGGTGGAATGTTAATGGCTTTAAGATTCCACTAAAGACCCTGTAATTTCCACCATTTAGGCCAGTCATTAAGCAGATGACACCACAATTCCCTAGCAAGAAAATAAAGTTTACTTTCCGTAGCTTGAGAAGAGATGGCAGCATTGTTTCCTACACGGTGATTTGACGAAGCATTTAATTTAGAGATTATTGCCCTTGATGGAGAATGCATTAAAACAACTTACTGTAAATCAAACAGCAAATTGCTGAGGAATAAGTAGTTGCCTGCTTGTAACACGACTTAAAAATTGTGCAGATTTACTGAGCGGAGAAAGCAATCTGTTATCCATCAGTACTGCTGCCTGAGGAGCCCTCTTATTTAGAAACAACATGCAGGGAGTGAATATTGCAGACCAGCCTTCTCCATTGTGCTGGGTGATGCAGTCCAAAGCTTCTGGAGAGCACTAGTTTGGGGAAGGTCTCTGTAGAGTTTAGCTTGAGATTATGAGCCTCTTCAGTTGAGGGTAAATTGTGATGGGATGTCAGAGAAGCAGCGAGAGATGCAAGACAGAAATTCTGGAGAAGTGAATAAACAGATGACATGCAGAACCCACACAAGGGAACCGAATCACTCCCTGCTGAAGGTATAGACTGAGAGAAAGTCAAATCATGGAGCCACTGAGCAAAGAGTGCCTTTGCCACAGTTGCAGCAAGGTTCACACCAGCAACAAAGAAGAAACTTAACACTGGGTCAGAGCAAAAGAGCCAGAGTTCAGCAGCCAGGAGTTTGATAGGCCATAGCAGTCAACTTTCCCCCTTTCTTGCGAGGAATCCTACTCGGAATAAGGGAATTTCCCTTTAAAAAAGGGAAACATTGACAGCTATGTTTCTAGGCACAATGGATACTCTCAGGGTTGGCTCCATGTTGGAGGGGGATTTAGGCAGTGGCCTAACTCTCCCCCCACACCAATTAGATCAAGACAGAAAGGATTTGATGTGGAGCCATAATCCAGTGGAACACCACATGTTTGGATTGTGCTATAAGTCCCCAAACAAACACTTGAAAAACAGCATTGATATCAATGTCTTGACTGATATAGAGATCCCAAAGATATGAAGCATGCCCAAACCCAGCAACGCTGTGGTTTGGCAGCTCTTCCCTATTCCCTTGATTGAGTAAAGCCTCACCAGAACGCAGAAGGATTTGAGTTTTAGTGAAGAGTTATCACTGTTTGCTTTGGAGAAGGTATTAATTTGCTTAGGGATGTGGGAAAAGCTTTCGCTTTTATTTTCACTCCTTTCTACCTTCCCGTATGTTTGCGTAACATGTTTGGGACACTTATCTGCAAAGGTGGGTGTGCGAGTTTTGCAATGCGGATTCAAATCCACATGCATAGTATTACCTGCAGTTGTGAAAGTCCTAGGGTGGGTTACAGCAACGTGAAAATACAGTACTAAGATCAGTTAAAACAATTTGACAGGATAGCAAGATGGGGCTAAAAAACTGAGGATGAAAGCTGATAAGGCAGAGGTGCTATGGGTGGACAGTTTCTGTGTCCAGAAACTAGGCGGACGATCTGTTTTGGGAAGGGTTGCACCTGAAGGAACAGGTTTGTAGTCTGGGAATACTGGATTCTTCCCTGTTGATGGCGTCTCAAGTGGCTTCTGTGCCTGCCCAGCTTAGGCTGGTTCACCAACTATGTCTGCTCCTAAACTCAGGTAGCCTACTCTCAGTTGTTTTTGATCTGGTGACATCCTGACTGGACTACCATAATGCACTATACATGAGGCTACCCTTGTAGATGGCCAGGAGTCTGCAGCTAATGTCAAATGTGGCTGCCTAGGTTGTGGCAGCCTGATCATGTGTCACTGGTCCTGAAAGCACTGTGTTAGCTGTCAGCAAGCCTCCAAGCCCATTCAGTGTGTTAATATTCACATTAAAGGTAAAGGTAAAGGGACCCCTGACCATTAGGTTCAGTCGTGACGGACTCTGGGGTTGCGGCACTCATCTCGCTTTATTGGCCGAGGGAGCCGGCGTACAGCTTCCGGGTCATGTGGCTAGCATGACTAAGCCGCTTCTGGCGAACCAGAGCAGCACACGGAAATGCTGTTTACCTTCCCGCTGGAGCGGTACCTATTTATCTACTTGCACTTTGACGTGCTTTCGAACTGCTAGGTTGGCAGGAGCAGGGACTGAGCAGCGGGAGCTCACCCTGTCACGGGGATTCAAACCGCCGACCTTCTGATCGGCAAGTCCTAGGCTCTGTGGTTTAACCCACAGCGCCATTCACATACAAAGCCCCAAATGGCTTAAGACCCAAGAACCTTAATGATTTACTCTCCCAGTGTCAACCACCTCAGGCCAAACTATCAGCAGGGAAGACCCTGGTGGTGGTGGTGCTGCTGCATCTGGCTACTGCCTTGTTGGCATTGACCTGTGTCAGGGCCTTCGCTGTGGTGGCTCCCCATTTATGGAATGCTCCCTTGTTTCCTTCATTATTAACTTTAGAAACATTCTTGTTTATCCAGGCATTTGGGGGCACAAACATTCTGTTGCTGGCAACATTGAAGTTATTAGCTTCACTCTGGAGAAGAGTGACTAGTGGGGTGCCACAGGGTTCTGTCTTGGGCCCGGTCTTATTCAACATCTTTATCAACGACTTGGATGATGGACTCAAGGGCATCCTGATCAAATTTGCAGATGACACCAAATTGGGAGGGGTGGCTAACACCCCAGAGGACAGGATCACACTTCAAAACGACCTTGACAGATTAGAGAACTGGGCCAAAACAAACAAGATGAATTTTAACAGGGAGAAATGTAAAGTATTGCACTTGGGCAAAAAAATGAGAGGCACAAATACAAGATGGGTGACACCTGGCTTGAGAGCAGTACATGTGAAAAGGATCTAGGAGTCTTGGTTGACCACAAACTTGACATGAGCCAACAGTGTGACGCAGCAGCTAAAAAGGCCAATGCAATTCTGGGCTGCATCAATAGGAGTATAGCATCTAGATCAAGGGAAGTAATAGTGCCACTGTATTCTGCTCTGGTCAGACCTCACCTGGAGTACTGTGTCCAGTTCTGGGCACCACAGTTCAAGAAGGACATTGACAAACTGGAGCGTGTCCAGAGGAGGGCAACCAAAATGGTCAAAGGCCTGGAAACGATGCCTTATGAGGAACGGCTAAGAGAGCTGGGCATGTTTAGCCTGGAGAAGAGGAGGTTGAGGGGTGATATGATAGCCATGTTCAAATATATAAAAGGATGTCACATAGAGGAGGGAGAAAGGTTGTTTTCTGCTGCTCCAGAGAAGCGGACACGGAGCAATGGATCCAAACTACAAGAAAGAAGATTCCACCTAAACATTAGGAAGAACTTCCTGACAGTAAGAGCTGTTCGACAGTGGAATTTGCTGCCAAGGAGTGTGGTGGAGTCTCCTTCTTTGGAGGTCTTTAAGCAGAGGCTTGACAACCATATGTCAGGAGTGCTCTGATGGTGTTTCCTGCTTGGCAGGGGGTTGGACTCGATGGCCCTTGTGGTCTCTTCCAACTCTATGATTCTATGATTCTATGATTCTATGATTCTAGCTGTGATGGTATGTGAAGTTTTTAGATGTTTCAAATTGATTTTAAATATTCTTAAATATGATGTTTTTAATTGTATTGCCTGAATGTTTTTGTTGTTTGCTGCCTAGGTCTACTTTGGGAGGAAGGGTTTGATAGAAATTTACTACGGCTACCACTACTGCTACTATCTAATAACAACACAAACATTCATATCTTTCTGTGTTGTTTTCATTGGGGTCTCATGAATAATCTGAAAGTGCATTTTGGATCACTGGGTGGTCCAACCACTAAATCACTGGTTAAAGATAAATGCCAAAGGACACTCATTTCTTTGAGTTCAAAGCAGTCATGTTTTAGAAAAGTATAACGTGCTCTCCATCAAATGTATACTGAACAAGTTGCCCTAAACAGGTGTCTGAAGACAAAATTAAATATTCTCCCCTCCATTCCGGAACAAAAACCCCAAATTCATTTTGACTTCAGTGGAGCCAGACTGAATGCCTTAGTCCTTGGACCAATTCCCGTTCTCCATCCTCTCAATATGTCTGACTGTAGCGCAAACAGATGTTTGTTGCGTGTGGTAATTCTGTGCATGTCTATTTTGTTTCTCAACCAACTGGAAAATACAGTATAATTTTAGTTAGATGTATAAACATGATTGTTTTGGTGTATAATATTTCCTGACCTCTATAGGTCACGTATCTTCCCTCAGAGAAAGCATACGTTTGCTTTCTGCCCTGATGATATGAATTTGGCAACGTGAGAGATATGGTGAAGAAATCTAATATAAACATGAAAGCTGACACGATAATGAATATTGGCTCTTTTGAATGCTGTGTTGTTGGACGAGGTTTTCATGTTGTCCTTAGTGGTTTTAATGAACAAGGAAGCTAGGGTTGTTGTTTACATGTCACACTTAAATAGTTCTGAGCTTAAGCTGACATCCAGAATCCACCACCCCATTTATTTACTTCCTATCCTGCCTTTCCCCCCGAAGGAGCTCAAGTTAACTTACATAGTTCTGCCCCCTCCTCATTTCATCCCCACTCTGTGAGGCAGAGACTGGCCCAAGGTCACCTGGTCATGGCCAAGTGGCCATGTGAGGATTCATATTCTGATCTCCCAAGCCTTAGTCCAGTGCTCTAACCACTACACCACACACTAGCTCTGATACACCACACTGGAGGCAGCAAATAGGTTGGAGTATTTTGCTGAAGTGTGTGTGTGTGTGTGTGCGTGAAAATCCTACATCATTTTGGGAAGCGGTGCTGACCCGTTTGGGACGTGGGTAGCGCTGTGGTCTAAACCACTGAGCCTGGGGCTTGCCAATCGGAAGCTCGGTGGTTCGAATCCCTGCAACCTGTTTATGGCAATTCTCTCTTCTTGTTATCAACAGTTTATCAGATTCCTCCCCCCCCCCTTTTAAAAGTACATCACAAACAGTAAACTTGCCAGTAGAGTTTTTTCTCTCTCCAGGTTTTCCAACACCTATCTCTGTAATTTAGGCTAAAAATTCCTTAAGTAAATAAGAAGAGCTCCATTGTTCTTCCACCCAAATCAACATTTTAAAAGGAAATAAAAATGGGCGAATGCCTCCGTTCTCACTTTCATTAACAGAGGGGTCGCCAATGGGCTGGGACTGCTTTGAATAAGATTATCTGGAGGCCTACTGACCAGGGCTGCTTGGGCTTTCTCTAGACTTCATTTGAGTTCACATTCAAAGTTTTAGCTAAGGCCAAACAGTGAAATATCACCAAGTCTGAAAGCCTTTAGGGGAGGTAGGATATGTTCCCTGTGCTGCAGACTTCCAGCTAGTTGGAATTCATAGAATCAAAGAAATGTAGAGCTGGAAGGGAGCACGAGGGTCGTCTAGCCCAACCCCTGCAATGCAGGAATCTTTGCAACCTTTGATCTCTTTGAGCAGCCTCAGATATGAATTAAACTGGAAAGCGAGCATCATGGTGTCTTGCATAAATCTAAGTTACCTCTTGTTATCCTCTGGGACCTCCTTGCAAGAATGAGTGAAGTGATTGCCATGTCCAACAGTTGTGTCAACTAACCATCGTAACTTAAAGTACTGTGGTACCTCGGGTTGCATATGCTTCAGGTTACATACGCTTCAGGTTATGGACTCTGCTCACCCAGAAATAGTACCTCGGGTTAAGAACTTTGCTTCAGGATGAGAACAGCAGTGGCGGCGCGGCTGCAGCGGGAGGCCCCATTAGCTAAAGTGGTGCTTCAGGTTAAGAACAGTTTCAGGTTAAGAATGGACCTCTGGAACGAATTAAGTACTTAACCCGAGGTACCACTGTATTGAAGGTTGTAGAAAAATATAGAGTGCAATTTTTCATATCAATCTCTAGGTGGAGATGGTTGATCAGTGTCATAACCATAGCACCAGCGCATGGCAAGCTTAAGACTTGCTCTCCAAGACTGGGTACTAACCAACCATGAAGGAATGACTGTTTTAGTGTAATGGCTTCTGTTAAGGACTAAGCCAGAAACAGACACACTCCTTAACTGCAGAGCCCTTTTCACAGGTTGCAAAAGATTCCCATTAATGACTAAATGTACTGCTTGGACAGATCTATAGTTCCTTCAGGGTGGAAATGGAAGACGGCTGTGATCAGAGGCAAAGCATTTTCCCCTCTTTTAGGCAGAGGAGGTGGCGTCACAAGAAAAGAAGTGCCTGAATCATCTGGGTAGTGGACAACCATGCAGGCAACAGTGTTAATGGCTCTAATACAGTAGATTCACTCTTTTCCCTATCCTCACATGTTCAGGCAAGGTTCTGTCTTCAACCTGTCCACTCTGAGCGAGGGTAGTGCATTACCCTTGCTCTGATTTGGCTTCTTTTGCTCTCCTCACAACTTGATGCCTAACTGCTTGTGACTATTACATTTTGAGGAAGAAGCCCAGTAGGAAAAACAATGGTATTGAAAAGAATCTGCTGGAATGGATGTTTACACTGAGCAAACATGCATATAAAGGTAAGCTTTGAATGGACTTTTGAGAATATTTTGGAATCCCCAAATACTACTTTTCACCCAAGAATATTTGGCAGTGTCTTAGCTTCTCTCGCTTGCAATGGAGACATCCCATTACTTGCATGCACACATAATTTCTTCTGAGCGGATCAGAGTTACCAAACATTGTTTGTTTGTACTGATTCTCTGTTGTACTAAATCACTGAGCTACTACTTCCTCATGTAGGAAAGAAAAATAGCTGTTGTGATTTTGGAGTGTACTTTTCATATCCACAGAGACGCAAAGTCAGATTTTTGAAATGTTTTCTTACATTGCAAACCCGTCCAAACCATTTCCGCAGTGGGAATATGTAAATGGTACATTGCTGTAAAATTTCCAGAAAAAAAATATCTGTGGTTGAGCCGAAGTGGGTGGGAGGGAGGCAATAAGTTTCTTGTACTGTAGACTTCTACCTAGTTGGAAGGGACAAGCATTGGGGAAAAGGTGTCTTGCCTTTGCCATTTGGCTTCTGTTGCACAAGAAAACAACACTAAGTAATCATCTGTAAAGACTAGTTGCAGCTCAGACTATTCAAAAATCTTTGTTTTCCACTGTGGGACACCTCCTCCTTGTTACTCTTGCTGCAGATATTGAAAGGAGGTGTCAGGTGAGTCCAGGAGTAGAAGAAACAAGAGAGAAAAGGATGGCAGATTCCATAGCAAAAGATGTAAGTTGGATCCTTTCCAGCTTAAGAGACTGCTCAAAGTCATTGCCATGTAGAACATGTTAAAGTAACCCATTCTGGATGCAACTAAGGCATGTATTATCATGGACAACTATGCCTTTTTGAGGAATGCACATAGCTGACACATCAGCTGAAACAGGGCAAAAGCAGCAGTGGACATCCAGATGTCGGGTTCAGGAGTACAGTGGTACCTCGGGTTAAGTACTTAATTCATTCCGGAGGTCTGTTCTTAACCTGAAACTGTTCTTAACCTGAAGCACCACTTTAGCTAATGGGGCCTCCTGTTGCTGCTGCGCCGTTGGAGCACAATTTCTGTTCTCATCCTGAAGCAAAGTTCTTAACCCGAGGTAATATTTCTGGGTTAGCAGAGTCTGTAACCTGAAGTGTATGTAACCTGAAGTGTATGTAACTCGAGGTACCACTGTATTCAGAAGCAACAAAGCTGATTTTTTAAATCAACGATATGACTATGCCAGGCCAAACCAGTTGCAGTACTGTTTCTGCATCAGACCCCCCGCCCCAATCTCAGTGTTGTCTAGATTGAGCTTCAGTTTATTAGTGCTCATCAAATCCCTTGTAACCTCCAAGCACCGATTGAGAACATCAACGGTTTTCCTGGAATCAGATGGAAAGGACAAAGCAATGAGTCACCCACATTCTAGACACTTTATAGACCCTTAGAAGCACGTACGGAATGAACCGAGTGATCCGCAGTGTAAATACCCTTGTGTTTTTCAAGGTTCAGCATGAGGAAATCCAGTATCAAAAAGAATTTAATTAAAATAAACACCTGAAGGGCCCAGTGCAGTCTCTGAGTCTTGTCTTAATGAACTTGGACAAAGCTGCACAAAATAGAATAACAAGGCTGAAAATAGCTATACAAATTTAATATTCCGCCCTCTTCCCCACTAGTTTACATAAGAAGCTGGATGACTGCTGGGGTCATGCAAAGCAGATGTTATCAGAGGTTCTCTGAGGGTGGGAAACATGGCAAGGGTCACATTTGAACCCATGCCCTTAAAATGGATTGTTATCTGAAAACTGCCAACTACAGAATTGATAGGAAGATTTGAGAGACAGCTAACTTATTCTTCAAGCTGAAGGCTTGAGATTTATACACAGACATATGCATGCTTATACAACAAAAAAGGACTACCATTATCTCCTGTCAAATAAAATCTCCTGGCAAATCACTAAGGCCGATGGAAAGTTGACACTTATCACAATATAATATAGGAGAAGAGATATCAAGGTCATCAAATCCAAATGTTTGTTTCAAGGCTTCCCCACTTAACCAGGGTTTACAGTTGTAAATGGGGATGATAGCACTCTTAGTTTCTGTGGTGTGTCCACATTAATTTATTTTGTACTGCTGTGAAATCTGGTCAATCATGTGTTGCAAGTTTTTGTTGCAATGTGAATTCTGAAAAAGCTGTGAACAGAGACAATGCAGTACCTCGGGTTACTGACACTTCAGGTTACAGACACTTCAGGTTACAGACTCTGCTAACCCAGAAATAGTACCTCGGGTTAAGAACTTTGCTTCAGGATGAGAACAGAAATCGTGCGGTGGCAGCGGGAGGCCCCATTAGCTAAAGTGGCACCTCAGGTTAAGAACAGTTTCAGGTTAAGAACGGACCTCCAGAACGAATTAAGTTCATAACCCGAGGTACCACTGTAGTGAGCTTAATGTACACAGCAAAGCAAAAAAAATTAAAATGTCTTTCATATCAATTTTGGCTCTATGTCTCTAGCACTACATAAATTCTAAACACAGAGAGCAGCAAGATAGTTTGCAATACAAACTGTATACAGAGTGTTTATAAATTATCCTAAAGTTCTGCATGCCAGGAAACCAACCAGACAACACTCTTTTGACGAATCATTTGCTTATTAATGATAGACAGTGCTAGATCAACTGGTGAGGCTGATGACCACCTTGTTTGTTACAGAAACTGTACATTTATACTTCTTGCCTCTGCAATAACCACCATAACAGAGAGAGGAAGAATGTGTATCTGAAAGCGTGATAAGCACATGCCAGGGAGCAGCGATTACCATTAAGGATGTTGGGCTTGTATTTACTATACGTTTTCAGACATTTGCTTCCTCTCTACATGTTAATAATGTATGATGTGGAGACAAGCAGTGGGCAAACGGGAAATTGTTTTTCCTTAATTATGGATTGCACCACAAGGGTGAAGAGTTATTAGAATGGCCATTTTTTTTCCTTTTTGGGGGCGGGGGCGGGGAAGGCCAAATAGGTAATTGCTGACAGAATAGATGTGGAAACCTTGCCTTTGTGTGAGTGTGAGGGGTGATTTATTTATTTATTTAATGCGTTCATGCCCTATATTTCTCTCCAATCAAGATCTGTTGAGGGGGCAGCGCAATGAGAAGGATAGAGATGTATGGATGAAGTGATATAGACAAAGTGATATATAAAAGTTGACTGCTGGAATTTAATCTTTCAAGACTGCTTTATTTTGTTGTTGTTACTGAGACACAGATCTCTTAATAGGGAGCAGTCTTGTCCAAATCTATCAACACAAGCAACGACTTTAGAGTTATTTTAGCATTTTTAAAAAAATTATGTAGTAAATCATAGCTAAGGTCTTTGAACTATTTTTTATTTTTGGACAGATTGTGAGTAAAGAAAAGGGGAAAAAACAACAACCCAACATTCTGGCTTTGCAGAATGTCTTGAGCTCTGTAGTTGCATACTCAGCAATTCTGCTCTGTTTATAAATAATGCCATAAAGACCTGAGCTCTTATGAGGTGGTGGACACATCCAGAAGATTCATATGACTTATCTTAATAATTTCAAAAGACGTTTCGTAACAACAGTTTCATATTTTCAATCAGGGGATACTTTAAATGTTGGGACTGGAGTAGGGTATGTTGATAGGGTTTTTCTTCATCAGTTCCTTTTTGAGCCAAACTGCATTTTGTGCAGGAAAAGCACAATCAGAATCCTTCCTTTTTCTTTTTCTTTTTACCAAAATGCAGCTGCAAGAGGGCAGCCAGTTTCTTTAGACTGTTTAACCATTCCCCAGTGCCGTATTCTTGATCAGAATGGTCCCTGAAGCTATTGCATACCCCAACTGAGAAGATACAGATACCTGTATAATCAGATTTCCCATGTAATGTGCTGAAAGCTGCTGTATTTATCAGTCAGTTGCTTGGGAAAGGAAGAAAAGATATATTATATACAGTCATTGTCAGGCATTTTGGGCCAGGTAGGTAAGTGAAAACAGATGTGGATTCATCGTAGATTCTAGCAGGTGCACCTGGGGCCCTCACATGAGACCCTAGAAGATCCTGTTGACAACACAAAATTCTCTACTTCTTCAGATTACTGCTTTCTTCTTCTTCAGGTTACTGCTGTTTTTTAAAAAAATTAGCCAACAATATGAGCCAAAGAAAGGACAATTATGTAAGATATTGGCATTACGAGAGGTGTTCAACATTAATGGTATGTAACAAAATACAACAAAGGCTCTAACTAAGTGTCTGTAGCCACAAAGATTCAAAACATAATGCTCTTAGCAAAGAAAAAGAGTCCTTGTGTCTATAGTCAACTGTGCATGTCAATGTACAGCTCAAAACATCTGTGACAAATGCACTGTTTTAATCAGTGCTGGCTCTGGAAAGCCTAGATTCTCAGTCACCAATGTACTGATCCAATCTACTGTGGGTTCTTGAAGATGTATAATCTCAGGCTGATTCCATCGGGAGGCTGGTCCAACAGCATATTATGGTTCATCTTTTTTCATTAAATGCATTATCTCTGGTGGTCATCAGTAAAATGATTTAGTCATGTCATCAGTGCTCAGTTTACTGAGGTTTCTTTCTGCTAACCACTGGGAGTTAGCGGTTTACTTTCTTTGGCTCTTCCTGAGCCAAAGAGTGACTGAACTATTAAGTGGTACTTTCCCTCATTGAATTAACCTTTATACCTCCGGTTAATTCATCCTTTCAGAGGACACACATTTAGTAAATCCAGACTTCTCCATCTGGATAGGCAGCTGCAGTCTATACCTAGCCCACCAAGTCTTTCCGACCTACAAAAACCCTCCCAGTATCGCCTCGAATCTCCACTTGGCAGCAGGCTGGGGGGACCTGGAAACACAATCCCTTTGTTAACCATTATTTGTATTCTGGGGACTTTATCAGACTTAGTTTGCAACTGTCTGCACACTTATTCAGAAGCAAGTCCCACTGAATTCAGAGAGACTTTCTTCAAAGTAGTCTTACATTGGATCAGGCTGCTGTTGAAATAGTGGAGTTAATGTTCAGTGTTTAACCACTGCTTGGAAAACCAGGTACAGTGTTTTCCTCCCCAGTCTAACTTCTGAGCTAGATGCTATCTTGTTATTCAAACTCACAGATAGCAGCGTACACAAGAAAAGGCAAGTTGCAAAGGGGAGGGGGGGATTGAATAGCATGCATTGCACAATAATGTTCCCATTTTTGTTTTTTCTTGGTCACTGGTTATGAAATCCTTCACATTTGCATCTGCAAAAATATTTCAGTTACAGCTGCTAGCTGCGTATTTCAGGTAAAAGCGGTATGCATAGATATCTTTGCAAGTCAGTTGTGAGGCAATCTCACACAGCCCAGATGGAACAGCTAAAGCTCATTGAAGTCAACAGGACAATTCATAAATTTGCATAGGTGCACCTTCAGGATGGAAGATCCGTCAGATTTAGGATATTTGACAGACGTGTATTATGTCTCCAAATAATAATAGTTGCTCAGGCTGGATAGAGGTTATCCTCTCTGATGACTCATTGACTTCTCAAGCATGGTATTCTGGATATCCCTCTTTAAATGTAAACAGAACCATTCAGCCTGCCTTACTCTCATGAAGATTTGGGATGAATACCTGATATTATTTCAGTTTGATCCTGTTGATGTTTCCATATCTAAGCTCCAGAACAGTGGTTCTCAAACCTTTTTCTCCATGGACCACTTGAGAATTGCTGTGGGTCGGACTTCCGGGGTGGCGCCATCGGTAATGGCGGACTCCCTCTGATCCGGAGGGACTGGCTCCACGGAAATCGGGTCTGTTCCGCTACGGCGAAGCGGGGACCCTTTAAAAAATCACAGGCGGGTGAAGCCTGTGACCGTGGGACTCGGCGGGCACCTTTCGCGCCCCCCCAATTTGCAAAGGAACCCAGTTACGGGCTCCAGAGCGAAGCGGGGCAAGCGGCGCGGTGCTGAGAGTCAACTGCTTCTTCTGTGGAGCGAAGCCGCACAGCCGTTGCCGGAGAGCGCTGCCTTTTTCCTGGGACAATCTGGCTACAAAAATAACTATCCGTGAGTAGGATAAATTTGGACAATTGGACTCTAAACAACGACCCATGAGTAGAACGGAAAATTGGACTAAGAAATTCCCTTTAATTTGGCACCAAAGTGGGAAGGTCTAAACAGGAAGTCAGCCTTCCGCTTTTTGTAGAAAGATTAAAGCAAAGACATGGCAAGCTAGAGTTTAGAAAATCGTTTGTAAAGGATCAACTTTCATCATCTAAATCTACTAACCCCCTTTGGAAGCAGGAGAAGAGGGGAGATTTTTTCTGGACTGTTTAAACCTGCAGAAGAGTGTGTAAAGAAAAGCAATTTTCCACCGTCTTGAACCTGGGAGCGGGGTGTCAGAACAGACGTTTTCGGAGTTCATTGACTATAGCAAACATTTTTGACAGACAGTTAAAAGAAGAGAAACATAGTGATTCCATTGTTCTCCTTCGCAGTTAAAAGGAAAAAAATATTGACAAAATATCTGAAAAAGGAAACTTTGTTGTTAGATCTGCTTTGTTGCTAGATCTGTTTAAAAAAAAAAAAGAGAGAGAGAGATGGATACAAATAGAAGTTCTTCCCCTAGAGGGAGCTTGTGAAACTGTTATTAAATCTGAACTGGGGAGCTTTGCAGCTGCAACAGATTAAGATCGTGGGATCAGACTTTGACCTTGTACAACAATGTACTCGGAGGCTCTGGTGCGTGCTTTCTGCAAGACAAGTGCTTTATTGGAACAGTTACATGAGAAGACGGATTTGATGACTGTTGCGATCAGAAATTTTGGGCAGGTAGTGGGTATCTATATAGAACCCACTCAGGAATCAATTCAGGAGTGTGCTCTGACAGATCAGATGAGGGAGGAGGTTGCGGCTGGACCCCGGGAGGCAGAGATGGAGGGAACTGTGGCCCAGCAGGAACATGAGTTGTTGGACCTGACGAATGAACCTGGAAAAAGCCAGATTTGGAGAGATAGAGTCTTGTTTGGCTTGGAGGTGGGGGGCTGGATAGACCCCCCTATGCAGGGATGTTTTTACTTTTCAAGTCTGGCATTGGGCCGGGAGGAGTTTGGAGTTGTGGGGGTCCTCAACTTTGGAGGGACCTTGAAACATGCTTTTAAATACCACATGGAGTTCAGTGTGGACTATGGAAAAGGGGTTGATCTGTCAAGAAGGGACAAAAATATTGCCAAGCTGGAGTCTCCACGAGTGAAAGGAGCAGAAGACAAAGTAAAGTACAGGTATAAATATGAAGAAGATCTGCGGAAGGGACATGGAAGAGACTTAAGGGCCTCGGACATAAGGTTACCAGGTTAATGAACTAGATGGATGAGATAGAAAGGACTGACAAAACCCGAGACCAGGAGGAAGAGACGTTGGATAAAGATTGGAAGAAAGTTTTAAAAAATTCTACTTAGGAATGTTTTCTAAAATTAATGAGTATTAGAAAAATGTTGGAACGAAATTATTTGGCTTTAGCAGAAATGTTAAAAAGAACTATGTAAGAATATGCTATGGTTATGAGAAATTGGTATAAATAAGATTTAAGTTTTAAGTTTTAGGGTTCTTTATGGTAAGATAAAGTTAAAATAGATTAAGGTAATTTAATGACAGAATATTATGAAAAATGGAAAGGATTTGCTGTGACAATCAACAACTAGAATACAAAAAAAGGGAGGTGTGAGGAGGTCAATGAAATAAGGTAATGACAGTTAAGGATTTGGGAATATTGGATCTGTTTTTAAATCTTTGTGGCCTATTTTTGCTTTCTGATTTTGATGTGTTATGTGTTTTGTTTTTGCTTTTTGGTTTTGCTTTTTATCGATTTGTATTGTTTAATTGCTATTTGTTTCTTGTTTTTTCCTTATTTTTCTCTTTGTTTTTTTTTTTTTTTTGGTAATTTTAAAATTCTCAATAAACATCATTTAAAAAAAAAGAAAGAGAGAATTGCTGTGGGTCTTGGTACATTGCAGGGGTTTGGACTAGATGACCCTCAAGGTGGCTTCAATCGCTGCAGGTCTATGACTTCATTTCTTTAGCATGATGATCTGAAGGGGGCTTATAAGCACATTTGCCTGGATGTGTTAATAATAATAATAATAATAATAATAATAATAATAAAATTTATTTATACCCCGCCCTTTCCGGTTCAAAAACCAGGCTCAGGGCGGCTAACAACAAATTTAAAACACTTAATTATAAAAGCAGCATAAAATACAGTATAAAAACATGAATAACAATAACATTCAAAAATCAATTTTAGGGAAATAAGCATTAGATAATCCCCAGGGCTAGCTGGCTGAATTGGTCCTACTTGGGCCAGCGAGGAGGCCAGGGGAGAATTAGCTGTGGGGTCTCAGAGCGGGTGATCTTCATAAAAGGGGAGGGGGAGGGAAGGGAAATAAAAGATGAGGCTGAATTCAAATTAAAGGCCAGGCGGAATAGCTCTGTCTTACAGGCCTGGCGAAAGGAGGTTAAATCCTGAGGGGCCCTAGTCTCATGGGACAGAGCATTCCACCAGGTCGGAGCCATCACTGAGAAGGCCTTGGCCCTGGTGGAGGATAGTCTTCCAGACTTCCTTAGGGCCCGGGACCTCTAAACTATGGTTATTCATGGACCTTAAGGTCCTCTGCAGGGCATACCAGGAGAGGCGGTCCCATAGATACAAGCGTCCTGGTGATTAGAAACCCTTGAGTTCCTAAATTGTGAGGAAGTCTGTAAGTGCTGCTGGCAAAAGCCCCCTTCAGCCCTTCATGTAAAACATACAAAGTCTGATAGTGGAGGGTGCATGCCCAATGAGAGTTGACAGAATCACAGTATCACAGATTTGTAGAATTGGAAAGGACCACAAGGGTCATGTAGTCCAACCCCCTCCAATGCAGGAATCCTTCACACAACGTGGGGCTTGAAGCAACAACCTTGAGATTGAGTCTCATGCTGTGAACGTGTGTACCCCCATCCACCAGCCCACACGTTTCCAGACTGAACTCCTGAAGAAGATTCATCATAGGCACACCATGTGAGGGTATCCAATGATTCGCTTTTTTGTCTGCTTTCTAAACAGGAAGTAGCTGCCCATACAGTTGACAAAGAGGCACCAGGGGGATATTTATTTTGGTAACAATTTTAACAACAAAAAATCCTGGCGTAGATTTTTATGTGTGGTATCTATTCCTTTCTTCTCTTCACTTCAATTGTTCTTCCAAGGTGGATTCAGATCACTGATGGTGTCCCAATAGCAGCTTAAAGCTGTAATGGCTAGTTCCTAATTATGGGGTTATGCAGTTGTCTATAGCTCCACGTCCATCCATTCCACCCCTCTGTACTGGCTGTGAAGTCAGAGCAGGGGCAAGATTGGGCTTAACCATGTGATCCGAGGTGACATGTCTCTGCCTCCGCTTATGGCTACAGACACCATGCAGCAAGCTTTTAAGGCACTATGATGAGCCCCTTCCGTGTGTTAATAATGGCTAGTTAAACTGAAGTAGCCATTTCATATATGGCACTTGTTTGCCTTCATTGCATTATAAGCTGATCAGGCTTGACTCATCTTACGTTTTGTGCAGTGTCTGGGTTTTTGGGTGATTTACAATTTATAATACTGCTAGTCATTAATAATAATAATGTGAACATGAATTGCACTCCAGCATATTTAATTGCTTTTGCAGGGGGAGTGATGCCTTAAGAAGAGATGTTTCACTGAAATATTGCACTTTTATCTCTCCTATCTTGCATGTGTCTAAAACTGAACATTCCTCGCCAATACATCCCTTCTTTTTCGTTACTTTTAAAAGGAATTTCCAGTGCTTTCACAGTTTGAAAGCGTACATACATATCTTTTTTAAATTTTCCATATATCAACATCGTTCATACTCTTAATGAGACAATGATCTTTTTAATTTATGCATGTTTTTTGGGCACGTTAGAACTGTACGTTCCCATAGAAGCATCCCACAATTATAGCCTTGGCTCTGCCTTTCTAACTTTTTTAAAAATTGAAACCTTGTCTTATCTGAGAACTCGTACCCCAGGGACTGGGATAGAATAAATATCAGCAAGGATTTGGCAGGAGGTAGTTCGCAAGAGGGGATTCTCTAGTGCATTCCTCTGGCTGCCCTCAGCAAAGAATACATATATATCCTTTAACACAGAAGCTCTGTGGAGGTAAATTAATTAAAGCTATTGGGGCCAAATCCCCCATTGCCTTCTATAATCAGAGGTCAATTTGTTCCGTATCATGGCTGAATAAGCAAGAATTATACATACCTTTTGGAGTTGTTCGTGACTGCTTGAAGATAACACGCCTGCTTCAATTGTTTGTTTCATGCTTAGCCTGTACTTTCTCCAAAAAGTTCAGAGCAGCTTACACAAGTAGCCTCCTATCCAGACAGCTAGTGGATAGCTCAAGTCTGTCGAACTCATTCTCAGGATCATGGGTTTGAGCCCCATGTCGGGCAAAAGATTCCTGCGTTGCAGGGGGTTGGACTACATGACCCTCATGGTCCCTTCCAACTCTTTGGTTCTATGAGCATAACGCCTGTCGCAGCTTCGGCAGCAGGACCCCATTCATGCGCCTTTTAACAACTCCCCGTATTTCAAGGAATGCAGTGCTTTTGCAATCCCCAAGTTACCTGTCCAGAAAATGCAAAGCTAATTTACAAAATACAGTGGTACCTCAGGTTACAGTCGCTTCAGGTTACAAACTCCGCTAACCCAGAAATAGTGCCTCGGCTTAAGAACTTTGCTTCAGGATGAGAACAGAAATCGTGCTCCGGCGGTGCGGCGGCAGCGGGAGGCCCCATTAGCTATTAGCTAAAGTGGTACCTCAGGTTAAGAACAGTTTCAGGTTAAGAACGGACCTCCAGAACAAATTAAGTTCTTAACCCGAGGTACCACTGTAAGTGTTTATTTGCATTTTCTTTCAAGGAGCTCATGGCTACCCCCATTTTATCCCCACAGATGAACCCAGGTCTCCCTACTCCAGGGATGCCCCATTGCTGAAGCCTCCCTTATGTGGGTCGCATGGTGGCCATTGTGAAGCGGCTGCAGTTTCTTGCTGAAATCTTGCGACATCTAGCTAGAGGTCACCACTGCCTCCGCCAGCTCCCTGCCTCTTGGGGTTCTGCTACCCAAGTCGGCGTTCCCCAGTCCACCCCATGGGCGTGCTGACCCTGCTTCATACACATAAAACACATTACTTCCTCCAAAGAATCCTTGGAGCCATAGTTTCCTAAGCGTGCTGAGAATTGTAGGTGTGCTTGTGAGAGGGTAAACCGCAGCTCCCAGAAATCCTTTGCACAGAGACATGTGGTGTAAACATGTGCTTTTCAAAGCGTGGTGTGTACGCAGCCAGTCTCAGCCCAGGATGCTAATCAGAAATACTAATACATTGTAAATAGCTTTGTAAGCTTTATTTTCTTCTGTGGCTGGGCCCTAAAACCAAAGAAACTGAAATTTAAG